TAGGTCTCCAGTTTATAATCTACATTGTACTGCCTGTAAAGAAACAGATAAGCAAGAGTTCAGAGATACTCCACTACTGCCTTTGCTCTTTCCTGTTCTAAACATTCTGCTGCTCAAGCATATGGAAGCTTTTGTTTTACCGTGCTTTCTTTTTAACTAAATAAAAATGAGATAAGAAAAATTTAAAACTGGCTCCTAAAACACAAGTAGAATTGAGTTTCTAACAGGTTGAAAATTTGCCATAGACAAGGAGACACTTGGGAGCAGAAGGCAAACTTGCAGTAAAACAAATAGGAGCTAAATGGGTAAAGCCTACATTCAGCAACTTCTACATACATATTGAGAAAGAGGTGAAAAAGGAAGGCCCTGGAAAAATAACAGCAAGAGTTTTACACTGAAACAAACAACAACAACAGATTAACATCAAATTTCAAACCATGCCTTCATTTCAAACTATAGAAGTCAATACCTGGAAGAACTTTCAGAAACATGTCAATACATTTGATTAATAAATAGCGGAAAGCTTCCAGAGCAGCGTTTAGACACAACTAGAATGTTTTCTGTAAGGATCGGTCACCAAACTATACGTGCACAGTCTGGCTAATATGCACCCCCAAACTTCCCACTCTCTGGTCCACTTAACTAAGGAAGCAGCAAGTGTATTACACAATGCAGAACTGTGTCTAGCACATTACTTACTTTTGCCCTGTTTCTAAAGGGATCCCCACCAATACTTGTGCTGCATTTCTCCAGTCTTCTTCTTTCTCATAGATGGATGCAAGATGTTGCCTTATTGAAGCAACCTAGACAACAATTAAGTCGCAAGGAAACATTTTAAAACACAAAAGCATTCAACTTCTATGCATTCACCTTCCTCTCCTTGTAGGCTAACAAAGTGATACACAGCTTCACACTGCACGCACACCATTCTTCCTACATGAAGGTTTTAAGTCCTCAGTCGAGTCTTAAGACTGAGCCTTTTCAATTTCAGCAGTTTGAAGTATTTCCTAATAGGCTTGCAGCTAGATAAAAAGAGCTGGTCTTTATGGAAGGATAAGCAGCAACCTGTTAAGAAACTTTTAAAAGATGAAACAATGTTTCTGAGAACCAAAACACCAAGATTCACAAGCCCTTTCTTGCAGTTGTACCTTATACCAAGCCTATGAGATACAAATGAGGTGAGCTATGACAAGGTCTTAATTCTGAAACTTAGATTTTGCACAACAGCTGCCAGAAGACAAATTATCAGTGGTACAATCTGGGTGCTGTAAGAAAAAGTGTGGGTAGAAAAAGAAATCATCTGGCCTTGAGGGTTTAATTTACGCATAATCACTGTAACATATGGGTAAACGTGCTCAGTTTGGAAGAGAGTGACAGCTGCTTAAAGAGACAAAAGGAAAACAGACATAAATACATATTGACAGAAACTGTCTTTTCTTCTCTAGAATAGATCCTGTAGACTTGTTACATACTTCCTTAAGTATTCTCAAACAACAATGAATAATCATTGAAGGAAATCTATCAAATTCAAAACAAAGCAGTACATTCAGCAAGTAACTGCAGAATTGGAATTTCATTACCTTCTCCCCCCCCGTAAGTGATTTTAGAGTAAATATATATCAAGAAATACATACATAAGCATACATACCCATACAGGGATTTTTTTTTATTTATTTATTTTATTTATTAAAGAACAGCTACTCAACAAAGCAATTCTGTCCTTAGATCACCTGCAGGCTCCCTCTGCTGGGTAAACGCAACACAGTGAGCCCCAGTCCATCTCAGAACAGTGCCTCCAGTTGCTCACCCATTGTTTCATTCTAAGAAGCCATTTTCTGGCAGCAGGGGAACATGCCCAACATCCTGATGAAGAGACTAAGTCGGTATTGTTTGCATGGTTCTAAATGCTTGTTTCATATGAACACTACTGCAGAACAGGCTCAAAATAGGAATGGCCATTTTGATTGGTACTTCTGAAAAATAGTGAGCAGTAAATTAAAAAGAAAAAAAAGCCACCAGCAGACCAAAACCCCTTGTGACTGACTTCTCACCTGCTCTTCAAATGAAATGACTCTAGGCTGTATCTTTTCCAGGGTGAAGTGGTATATTTCTTTGGCCGTGCTGTCAGGAAGACTTGGAAGATGGGTACAGAAATCCGTCAGCAGCTGACGTGATATCACTAGGCTGACATTCTCATTCACCACTAGTTCACAGACACGTGAAAGAAAAGCACAAGACAGATGCAATGTTTGTCAACACCTTCAGTGTAAGCGATCCCTTGCTAATCATTTACTTTTACATTAAATTTAAGTAACTCAAACGTTTAAATATCTGTATGTCAGTCAAGACATGTTATTTTTCTAAAAATGAATATTATTCTCTCAGAAATTGTTTACACTAGAGGTTACTGGAGTTCTAACACCTGACAAATAATGAATTATTTCTCACTCTGATTTATAGTTTATAAAGATATTCCATTCTGAATCGTTGCTCTCAATTGCGATAATATCTTGGACAAAATAACCCATTAGGCTCAATTTCATTAATTCTACAAAAGATACAAGAGGTATAAATTCTGTTTGACCTATTCAGTAGGCTAGATGTACAACACAATATAAAAAATACCTAACAATTTCTATCTGGTCATTTTCCAAACTAAGCAGAGCCTAAAGAAGAAGGGAATTATTAGTTTAAAGACTGCTAAGCATCTATACAATCAATGGATATTAAGATGTATAATTGTATATTCAATAGATATTAAGATGCATAATCAAGGGATATTAAGATGTTATAATCACAAAGAAAAACAAGAGAGTTAGGCAAAGTAGACTAAGATAACAAGAGAATAAATGGAAGGCTTACCCATATGCTAGGCTCACCCACAAAAAACACCAGAAGAGGGGATCTCCAGAAAAGATCCTTCCCCACTGGTAGCCAGCTCTTAAATAGGCCTAGGAGGGCTGGAGCCTGGCTCCACCCCTTCCGGCAGCACAGGTGAATTGCCTTCACCAGTGCTCCTGTGGCTGACTCATGGCTTGCCTCAGGTGATCAATCAGAGCTTCAGGCCGTGACTCAGCAGTTCCCATACAGCATCCAATATCAATTTTAGCATTCAACTAACTATTTTACAATACTACCTTCAGATGCTGTCACACTGACAAGCTAGAAAGTTAAATTAAATTAAAAATTCATCAGGTCCATTTTGACATAGTTTTTGAATATGCTGCGTATGGTTTCTCTCTTAGTCTTGTTTAAGTTCCAATAAGACCAAAAATATCACACATTTACGTAGATTCTAATAGATATGATAAACATGTAATCTCATGGTTGTCTGTTTTTCACTCAATATGCAATCAATTACATCAAATGCACTTACTTGCTTCCACAAAAGCTTTCAAAGCTTCAAGTTGTTGTGCACCTGACAGCTGAATTGCTTTTTCCAATATTTGACGGTATCTGTTCAAGAGGAAAAAAAACAAGTAAACGCCTATATCTGTGAGATAACATTTTCAGTCACCATGCCTGCTTTTTTTTTTTTTTTTTTTTTTTTTTTTGTTTGTTTTTTATTTTAATCTTTGAGGTGGAATTTTTCCAAAATGTGCTAAAGTGACTGAACACTCACCTGAAATGCATATCTGCTCTTTTTAAATATCAGATAACAGATAATCAGACTAACAGATAACAGCTCATTCTGTTACCTTGTACTGTTTTGTGTAATTGAGGTTTAAAAATAACAGCATCTCCATGATAGAACAGCTGTCCTTCACCATACAAAGGTGCCAGGGAAAAGTAAGTACAACTACATCCTCTGTAGATGAGGACTACTGAAATAAGAGAAAGGTTCAAGCTGCCACATTTAGTGAAAACAATAATTCCATGATTAAGGTTGGAAACGTCCTCTTAAGATCACCAAGTACAAGTCCAACCCCAACCCATCCCCACTAATTATGTCCCTCAGTGCCATGTCTCCATGGTTCTTAAACACCTCCAGAGACAGCGACTCAACCACCTCCCCAGGCAACCTCTGCCAATGCCTCACTGCTCTTCTGAAGAAATAAAGCTTCCTGATATCCAATCTGAATCTCACCTGGTGCATCTTAAGCCCATTATCTCTCATTCTATCGCTGTCAGTTGGAAGAAGAGGCCAACCCCCACTTCACTGCAACCTCTTTTCAAGCAGTTGTGGAGATAGATGAAGTCTCCCCCTGAGTCTTCTGCAATCCCAGTTCTCTCAGCTACTCCCCATAAGCTATTCCAGTTTTCATGCTTTGTAAAACCCAGGACAACTGCGGACCACAATCTCGGGGTGTGTAGTACTGAAATGGAATAAAAACCTCTTTCAAAGTTCCCCTCAAAAGTCATTCTGAACATGATCTGTGAGCAGCTTTTTTTAAACCAGGAGCTCTAAAAGCAAAGATGTTCCTCCAGAGAACTAAGAACTGGGACTCGAGGAATTCCAATTCCATCAGAGTCAGACACTGCCCTCGAGGAAGGGAAAAAATCCCGCTGTGACGCGTTGCACTGCGCACACCTTAACATGCAATATCAAAAGATAGGCGTGTAAATTCAAAAAGAGAAACGTTAAGGAAGGTTTCAGGGTGCCCACAGCAGCACAGGGCCCGTCACCACGCAGGTGCCAGGGCCGCAGGGACGATGCGGCGGCCCCAATGCCTTCCCCAGAAATTGAAAATAAGCAATAAGTGGCAAAATCGTGAGGTCGATCTCTCTTATTTTCTTCTTTTTTTAATTAAAACTAACGCCTCAGAAGCGTGGCCCTTGAGCCACAGCCACCCAGAGCCCCCTCCAGAGCCCGGCGCTATCCGCCGCCCCCACCTAACCCGCCCCACCGAGAAGGAAACCGCCGCCAGCACTCACTTTCCCGCCAAGTCCTTGTGGGAGCCGCTAGAGTTCATTAGCTGCGCCAGCTCCTGCCGCACCGCCGCCGCCATCTTCTCACCTACCATAGAGCGGCGGCGCCGGCGAGCTAGAGCGGCAGCGCGATGAGGGGGCGGAACCGGAAGCTCGGGGAAGCGGGAGGGGGTAAGCGCTGCGCCGGCGGTTGCCAGGGCGCCGCGGCGCAGTATTATGGGATGCGGCGGGGGAACGGCGCGGGGCGCGTGATTTTGAACAAACGCGGCGGCTCCTCGCGGGCACTGCCGCCGCCGCCGCCGGGCGCGACACCGGAGTGCGGCGCGGAGCGAGGAGGAGGAGGAGGCGGCGGCAGCGGAGCGCCCGCCCGCCCGGTGAGTGCCGAGGGGCGGGAAAGCGGCGGCGGGAGGGAAGGAGCGGCGGCCGGGAGCGGCGGGGCGCTGACAGCCGGCGGCAGGCCGCAGGCCCGGCCTGCCGCGGGACTGCGCAGCGAGCTGCGGGGAAGCGCCGCGCTCTGCCCTTCGGCGCGAGGGGCAGCGGCCCCTCCGTACCAGGGCGAGAGGACGGCTGCCGGGGGCAGGTGCGGCGGGGGCGGGCGGGCGGGCGGCGGTGACGGGGTGAAAATGGCGGATCTTTCGAAATAGGGCCGGCGGCTCCCGGCCGCCCCCGCGCCGCCGCCGCCGCGGGGAGGGCCCGGGGGGAACGGAACGGAGCGGGGCGGCCGTCGGTGGGATGAGTTGCGCGCAGAGCGCCGCGGGGCTCGGGTCGGGCCTGCGCGCGGCGGGGCCCGGAGGGAACCGCGGCTCCCGGTTGTGGAGCAAGGAGGAGAACCCCGGAGGAGCTCCCGGAGCGCCGCTGCCCTTTGTCTGCGGGGTGCCGGCCCCGGGGAGGAGGGAGCGGCCCGGCTCCGCGCTCCCGCGGCGCAGGTGCGAGGGCGGTACCTGACCCCGCGCCCCTCGGACTCGAGCACCTGCTGCAGGGGCCCGGCTCACCTTGGCGTCGCCAGCCGTGCTGGCGATTGGAGCGCAGTATTAATTAGTTGTGGCCGTGGCTTGTCGGCACATCGTCTGCTAATTACGTAACGTTGTGCGTGAGGGTTTCGGGTTCCGAAGTGTATGGGATCTCCTGTCAGGATGTAACTTGCGCCTGGGAAATGCTCCAGGATGGAGATTTGCGACCAAGGAGGGGCAGGCAGCAGGAGGTGAGCCCTCACGGTGCTATCCTTCTGAAGCGCTGCACAGTTACTACAGCAAATGGTGAACGCGGCAGAATCACTCTTAGTGCACTTTGCAGTGTTTATGTAAAACTAGTAATAGCTGCTGCTGCCAGCAGCAAAGCCTTCCATGTGTGGTTACTTTTTTTCACGATAGCTTTCTGAGTTAGTAGAGGCAAGAAGAGCAGTGAATTATCAGCTGAGTGTTTCCTCTGGCAGAGGAATTCCCTCACAAAATGCATTAGCCATCTTGTTTTGTTCCCTAAAACATCCAACTTATGTGTGTGTGACAAGGAATGATGTAATTGTGTGCCTTGCACAGATTTGCATTAACCGATGAGTGTATGCATGAATTGCTCCATGAGCAAAGCCTTCCTAAAGGCTAACTGGGAGTGCATGTTAGAAAACAAGGCCTAGTTAATCCTGTGAGTTAAAAGCACGCTCCATGCTGGCTGTAGATCTATCAGTTTGAGCAGTTTATTATGCAAGGTTAATTCAGATTACGTATCACAGCTGTTTGTTTTGCTTATTCTGCTGTGTGCAGCCCAGCTCAAATGGTCTGTCACTGAACACTCTGTGCAGTTCAGCTTGTTTTCTTGGAAGAAGCTGTAACTAACTGGTTTCAGATTGAGTATCTGCTAACCACAGGTGAACTGAAAGTGTGGAGAGTGCTGTGGGGTTTCAGACTCAGAGACACTAATATCTCATATGTCTTTTTTATTTTAGATTTTAAGAAGCAATTGCTCAAAGCCCCTTGAATTCACTTCCCTCCCACCTGTTGGAAAAATATTTTATGGGAAATGAAGCAAGACAAACTACAGAGGGCTGTTAGTTTCTGTTTCTGCAGCATATTGTTTCTTGCTTCTGTTTCCTCTTTGTACTGTAGAAGTGGTGCCTGCCTTCTTCACACCTGGTTAGAAAAACTTGTGATGTCCAAAAGAATTTGTGTGCTGCAGTTTTAGGATCCATTACAAGTGCCTACGCAATAAACTCTTGGTTTTATCCTTATTAGTTGCAGGACCTCCCAAAGACAAGTGAATAAAGGTTTCTAGAAAGCTTGCTTCTAGGACTTGTCTCGAGTAGCTTCGTTTATCACTTCCAAAATCTTTAAAGCAGCATGGAGTTCTCAGTACAGCCCATGAGTCATCTTGCTAGCTTTATAACATTAGAAAATATGAGTTTGTCTTGTACGGGAAAGGAGACATCAAGAATAACTTCTTGGTTGATTATGGGGTCACATAGCAACACAGTGTGAGAGGTTCATGTTTCCCACATTCTAGATCTGGACAAAGACTAGCAGCTCCTCAGCCTTTCCAGCCTGTGTGTCACTCCCCTTCACAAGCCATACTACTGCCAGCAAATATGCTGCTTCCCAGCCTTGGGTAATGTTCATGCCTTTGGGCCATGTTTTGATCCATCATGAGTTCCAGGTACAGAGATTTCTGCCAGTTTTTGTATTTTTTTCACTTATAACTTACCTGTTGTTCTAATTATTACTCTTTTACTTTGGAGACTTTAAAAAAAAAAAAAAAATGTAGCTACACATCCCTTTGATCCCATGAACACTTGCTGCTTTCTTGATGTTGGTACTGTTCCTTCCTCTTTCACGCTTCCCCTTCTCTTATACTGTGCCTAAACTCTGTGTAGTCCGCATAGTGAAAGACTCATCTATGTTAATACTAATATGGGTTTTGCTCTAAGCTGGAGTGTATCTGCATCAGATGGCCACCTGACATAGTCTGGTGGCCTCCCGCTGCTGGACATTGGTTGTACTCCCTTCTTCTGCTCCTTTTGCTTGCTTTGAACTGGTTTTCTGGTTCTCCTGAAACTCTCACTGAGCTCAAGTACCTCTGTTTGCAGGCAGAAGCTGTGCATTAATGCCAAGCCAGGAAGGAGGTCCCTGAGCTTCCCTGGGACCTTAACCCCATTGCATGATGGACTGTGCCATGGTTCTGGTGCTCACAGACTTTCAGTCAAGCTTTCAACATGCCAACCCACTAGAGTCTGTTTGCAACATCGCACAGTGGCTGCCCTCCTGGGTTAATGTATGGCGGTGGTTGTGCAAGAGATCCCTTGAACACTGGTGTTAGCAGCCTGGGGAAAGCAGGGTTGTGACAGCCTGGGTTTGGGTTTGGACAGCTAGATCTAACTCGGCTTCGTTCCTCGATCTGTTCCACCCCTGCAGCTACACAAATGTTTGCTAGCACAGGGAGGAAAGAATGTGTTGGATGGAAATGAATAAGCAGATGCCAGAGGAAAACAGGAGGGCTGTAGTAGTAGTGCCTGCTGAGTACTTCTGGGGAATTCAAGTACAAGGTGGTAATGCTGCTGATGACATGCTTGCAGCAAGTGCTGTCTGAAATAACAGTGAAACGATAGATATTCCTCTGTTTTGCACTGTTATCTACCCCAAAATTGGAGCAGGTGCGTATTTTATTAGTATGTAATAGCCAGTTTCTTGATAGTAAGATTGTTTCACTACTGGTGTTCTTTTTAAAATTGTAATGAAAACTTAAATTAGCCATGACTGACCAAGGAAAGGAATTTTTCTTCATAACTGGCTTTTGGCAAGTGGATTTTCTTTTTTATCCCCTTCCAGCCATTATTAATAAAATGGCTAGCACTGCCATATTAAGCATGGCAGAAGTGACATCAGCCTAATATTTTTCTCCCATTAAAACCTGAAATACTTCCTTTGTAACAAAGAACTATCCTGTCCCTTGCATGTGATAACTGTTACTTTAAACCCATAGAGGCTGCTGATGGGGGTAGTTGGCTCATTCTACTTGTGTGGAGTAATGGCAAGAGGATGCTGCACCTTGAGTGAATTATGGTTGCCTTGGGAACTGTTTTAGTTTTGTAACTATAGCCAGATGAATTTATGACAGAGAACATAAAATGTCTCTTTAGGTAAAGCACTTGATGGTTCTTCTTAGTATTCCTTTTAAAAGATTGGAGAGAAAAAAAGGCTGCTACTTACGTGAGTTCTGCATTCAGCATTGGATAATAGCAAGGTTGTTTTTTTCACTTGCAACAATTTGCTTTGTTATTGTATTTGATGAATCTAGAAGTGCAATCTTCTGAGAAATGGGCAGACTCCCTCCATATCTCACCTTGTGCAGAGAATGGAAGTGAATTTGTTCCGCATCATAATTTTTCTTATGTCATAATGATGTGCATTCACTTAGCTGTTACATATACAAACACAGCGAGCCTGTGAGCTTAGTTTATTATTTTTTCCACTGACCTTTGTTAATCATAGCTTTCTTAAGAGTTAACATTTTTGATAGTTTTTTTCTGTGTGTGACTGTATTTTTAAGGCCATCTCTAGCTCAGTAAGCTTAAACAAAAGACTCTCTGTTGGAAGAAATGCACTGCTGAGTGATTTTGTAATTCTTTGCTTTATGACAAAACAAACCCTGTAATTTTCAAGACAAAATGTGAAGCACAAAGGAGATTGAGGAAATGGGGAATACGTGAAATGAAGGGCATTGCTTTGCTCGTTATTGAAATAGCAGTAAAATAGAAGGATGGTAGATAATTAGGAAATTATAGAACATTGATGGCCTACACATGGTTGTGATCTTCAGTTTGATAAAATGCTAATTGTCCTGAACAAACGTTGGGTATGCATATGATTTAGTGAAGGGTTTCCTGCTGTGAAGAGTTTCTTTAGAGTTGTTTTCAGGCCTCTTACACCACTGATCTTTGTGAGTTTCAGTGTGCCTCTATGATCTTGGCAAAAAGACTTGGCACAGCAAACAAAATGAAGTGTTTTTTGTTGTTGAATAAAATGACCCAATCAAATAATTTCTCTAATAATTCCTTTTTTTTAATCAACTTACATCATTGAATGACCTTCACTTCTCTTTCTGACCTGTTGCTTGATTCTGCATTGCATGGGCAGGTATTCTGTGTCACCTGCACTAGCTTGAAAATAAGAATCTGTGGGGACTACAAGGCTTGTATTTTTATATAGTTAAATCAAGATTTTCCTGAACTAAATTTCTTCTGTTTGAGGTAATTTCTGGAGCGTTGCACCAAGTAGCAATGTTTGTTTTTCCTCCTGCACAGAATAGTTTGGTGTTGGTGCTGCAAACTGGCTGCAGCCTTGGGGACTAACAAAGCTGTAGTCAAGTGGAGGATTGCAGTGATAAAGGAAAGACTGTTGCTTTGTTACCTGTGAAGAAAAAATAACAATTGGATGTGAGGTATGAACTCTCCTAGAGAGAAGCAGAAAACCTGTAAGAGGGAGGCTGTAGGTGTGCTTTCATAGTGGATGGCTGCTGGAATAACTGGAGACAAATACAAGCTCCCCTTCTCTGTTGGAGGGGCAGATGAGTTTGGGTGTTGCATCTAGAAAAAGATGTAGGCTGAATTAAAAAGCTTTGACTTCTAGCCAGTTGTCTCGCATTGTCAAATCAAGTTTTG